AACGGTATACTACCGTAAAATTAATGTCCAATACATGTAATGTCCAATACAGTTTTTCACCGTATATAGTAGGGGAATTTACTGTTAACCATTTAACAGGTTTTTACTGTAGCATTTTTACAGTCTTTTACCGTTAAATTCACGGTCATTTTTTACAGTGTACATAGGCCTATATATATATATATATATATATAGTGATCATGAAAGTGATGTATGTACTGTGTTGTTACTTGCAACAAATTTAAATCAGTTATTGCATTTAAACAGCATGCATTGTAATATTTCAGTTCCAAACATAAAATTACCTTTTTGTTTTGTTACCGTACTTATCACATGAAATGAAACGAGCATGGCTATGACCATGGATTGACTTCTTGGACATTTTCCTTCTCAAAACACACAAGTTAGACCAGTTTACGAGAATGAATGATAAGAAGTGTTTAAAAATTATTTTCATTTACCTACCGCTACCATGATATATTGTTACAAAACTCTACATTCCCATATAGTCAGCAAAAGCCCTGGCCATATCATTAAACAGTATTTTTTAAATAATTAGTGCTCCTTGTTAGTATTATCTACATTGTTCAATTCAGTCTTTTCAGCCATGGCATCCTCCAGTGGTCCATTAAATGACAAGCATCCTCCAGTGCTCCATCTCTGGATGTTTTCAATGATCCAGTCACCACTCCATGTGGACACAACTTCTGCAGAACCTGCCTGAACAAGTGCTGGTAAACCAATCCAGGGTGTTTCTGTCTAATCTGTAACGAAAACTTCAGCAAAAGACCTCATCTCAAGATGAACACGGCATTCAGAGAGGTTGTGCAACACTTTAAGGAGAAACTTGAGTTAGGAAGGAGGTGTTCTGTGACATCGGTGATGAAAGCACGCAGAAAGCCGTGAAGTCCTGCTTGACGTGTGTGGAGTGTGGAGATTTGATCGGTGGATCTATGACCGTCATACACACCCTCTTAAGCATCAGTGTAACAGAGTAAACTGAGGCTGAGCCCTGTGTTTCTGGATCTCTGTTCAAAGAGCTGATCTCTGTCACTCCAGACTGAATCCGTCCCATCTGTCACACACACTGAAACCTTTTCCATCTCCTAAGAAACACTGAATCACAGTGACTTTAAATTTATATAACGACTGCCGTCCCTATTAAAGAAAATATTTTAAAGAATAAAAACTGCTGCTGGCAGGCAAAAATTAAGAAACAATTTTTTGATATGTCAAAATAGCAAAACATACCATTGAGCCATGCTCAGTATGTCTGACAGGAATGCATGAAACTTATAGTAGCTCTGGGTAATACTGACACTAAATCACGTTTAGTGTACATATAAACATTGCAGTCTGAATCTGCAATCATATTATATTTATTTTGACTGAAACAAATCTCTGCATCTGCCGATGTTTAATTTTAAGGACATTTATGTTCATTTTTATTCATTAAACATGCATGAACTCCTGTAAAAAAAATATCAGCTGCTGCTGCGTTTCGTTTACAGCAGAGCTTAAACTACAAAATGGGCATTATTGCCACCTATTGGGTGTATGGCCCACAAACACAACCAGACAGCGCGCCTCCACACAATAAGACAGGACCTAGTCTCTAGGCCTCCCTTCCGATGCCCACTTAAAAACCCAACCCACCTGCATGGCCCCGCCCTCTACTACTAGCCACCTCCCCGGCTACAGAAGCTTCGTTGGAAAGCTTCGAAACCTTCTCGAATCATTTGGGTTCGGAGCGCGTTTCAAACTGACAATTGCTGTGTTCTAAATGCCATACTATCATACTACTCTTACTATTTCTGCAGTATCCAGTATGTATACTGTGCATAGTATGCAACATTTCTGTATGCATGGAATACCCGAAGTGAAACGCGAAGTGATTGACGCGATCGACCCGAGTTCGAATCCACCTTTTAACAAACTCCTTCTTCTTTTCCCATCACATATCAGATCGGAAAGGCATTTATATTCAATAAAAATAAAGGAAATATTTGAAAAGTGGAAATAAAACACCTCATTAATAATACAGTGTTATTGGGTATGGTTAGGTGTAGGAAGGGCTTTATTGTCCCAGTAAGGCTCCATCCATTTAATAATATTAATAAATATGAATTTACACTCAGTGTTATTACATACTGTTTTATAATGTACTACAGTACTTAAGTATAAATATCTGTCACCTAACTACTATTTACACATAGCCTATTGCTAAAGAAAATACTGCTATTTTAGTGTAAACAAAATGCATCATTATTTGCACTTAGTGTAACTAGAATATATCACTTTTTCCACTTAGTGTAACTGCCAAAAAGAAAATAATGGGCCTATCATTGTTCAGTTAAAGATAGCTCAGTGTTGATTCAGTTGTGTTCAGTATGTAAAGTTAATTAATTATGAAATGAGTTCAATTGGGCAATATAGCATTATTTACTAGTATGAACCCTTATTAACACGTCTTTGTAAAAAGAACGGTTTGCACATTTATTTGTAAGGTAACAGCCTCGACAGCTGTGCTGAATTAATGTTCAGTGTTTGTCATGTGACAACACTGTTGCATATTACTCTGAAACATTTTGTTTCTTATTGTATACTGTTTCACACGCAGTATACACTGTGTACTGCTCAGTAAGCAGTAAGCTAGTGTGCCATTTCGAACACGGCCAATGTCAGATGATTTCAGTAATCGAGGCTTCGGTACGAACCATTGAACCAGTGTCTCTGTTTTTGTTTTTAAACCTGATCTCGGATTAGTTTTATAAATTTGTATACATCTTAATGAGACATAAAAGAAAGAGTAGTAGTCTGTGATTTACACAGGCTCTCCACAGAACAAACAAAACCCTGTAAATTACCCCTGCAAAAACAAACAAACATATTATACAGACTCTTCATATGTAATGTTGGTGATCTGTTAATTGAATTTAATATACTTTCAATAAAACATTTGCACTGGGTTTGTAAAAGCTGTTTTATACACGTTTGGCCTGCGTTTTTGTTGCATTTACACAGTTTTGACCAGCAGGCGTCACCAGCGTGTGGTGTTTCAAACGCTTCGAAACAGTGAATCATTTTTGTGAAGCAATTGGTTCAATTGATTCAAAGCTTCGAAGAGGTTCGTTTCTCTTATCACTACTGTATCCACACAGTGTTGCCAACTTAGCAATTTTGTTGCTAAATTTAGCAACTTTTCAGACTACCCTAGCAACTTTTTCTTCCAAAAGCACCTAGCAACAAATTTAGCTATTTTTAAAATTTATTTGG